AGTATTTGGGTCATGACATTACTTCTGAGGGTCACGCCCTCTCTAAAGATAGGCTTGAGATGATGAAGTCCCTGCCTAAACCTGTTACTAAGCAGCACATGATGTCGCTGTTGGGAGTGGCTGGCTACTGTCGCCCATGGTTGAAAGACTATGCGGCGACAGTACAGCCTCTGCAGGATTGTATTTATGGCAGAAAGATGGAAGTGTCTGAAGTGCCAAGCACACACTTCTGCAAAGGACAGGGAACGCTAAAGCTGATTGTGTGGCCAAGCTAGCTGTTTCCTCTTCTGTTTCCCCACTTCTACAGACGGCAGCATTTCCTGTTTCCACTAACCCCTTCTCTCCTAATGATGTTGTTGTTTTGCAGACAGCAGCTGAAGTGACTGAGAAAAGGCGGTGGGCTGAACACTGTCACAAGGACACCTCGGGTGTATGGCTTGATGATTCTAATAGACCTGCCATGCCCCGTTGTACTTTCCAATACCGTGATAAATTGTCACATGGTCAAGACCATGTGTCAAAAGGAGGGATGGTGGATATTGTCAATAAATATTGGAGTACAGTAGGATTTACTGTGTTTGCTGAAAATGTTGGTAAGAAGTGAGTGATCTGTATGACTAATAATGTTGGACACGGCATTTCAGTATCCCCCGTGTCCCATCCCAGGCCAGAGGGCCCCTTTGAGCACTTGATAATGGACTTCATTGAGTTGACCCCTTGTTAGGGGAACAAGTATTGTTTGGTGATTGTTGACACATTTTAAAAATGTATTGAAGCTTTTCCTTGTAGGAGAGCTGCAGCAGCAGGCTCTTCTGAGAGAGATCCCACACAGTGACTGGTCCCTCTCCCGATGAGGTGCTGACAGGGCGAGAATGACTAACAAGCCATTTCCTCAAATATAAGACTTCTTGTTGGGTATGAGGGTTGGGTCCTGTGGGAGTAGGTAAGGGTCTCCCATACAGTGAGGGAAAAAGTATTTGATCCCCTGCTGATTTTGTATGTTTTCCCACTGACAAAGAACTTATCAGTCTATAATTTTAATGGTAGGTTTATTTGAACAGTGAGAGACAAAATAACAACAAAAGAATCCAGAAAAACGCATGTCAAAAATGTTATAAATTGATTTGCATTTTATTGAGGGAAATAAGTATTTGACCCCCTCTCAATCAGAAGGATTTCTGGCTTCCAGGTGTCTTTTATACAGGTAACGAGCTGAGATTAGGAGCACACTCTTAAAGGGAGTGCTCCTAATTTCAGTTTGTTACCTGTATAAAAGACACCTGTCCACAGAAGCAATCAATCAGATTCCAAACTCTCCACCATGGCCAAGACCAAAGAGCTCTCCAAGGATGTCAGGGACAAGAATGTAGACCTACACAAGGCTGGAATGGGCTACAAGACCATCGCCAAGCAGCTTGGTGAGAAGGTGACAACAGTTGGTGCGATTATTCGCAAATGGAAGAAACACAAAAGAACTGTCAATCTCCCTCGGCCTGGGGCTCCATGCAAGATCTCACGGGAGGATCTTGTCAATTATCTCAAGGCAGCTGGGACCATAGTCACCAAGAAAACAATTGGAAAACAACAACAAAATCCAGAAAAACGCATGTCAAAAATGTTATAAATTGATTTGCATTTTAATGAGGGAAATAAGTATTTGACCCCTCTGCAAAACATGACTTAGTACTTGATGGCAAAACCCTTGTTGGCAATCACAGAGGTTTCTTGTAGTTGGCCACCAGGTTTGCACACATCTCAGGAGGGATTTGTCCCACTCCTCTTTGCAGATCTTCTCCAAGTCATTAAGGTTTCAAGCCTGATGTTTGGCAACTCAAACCTTCAGCTCCCTCCACAGATTTTCTATGGGATTAAGGTCTGGAGACTGGCTAGGCCACTCCAGGACCTTAATGTGCTTCTTCTTGAGCCACTCCTTTGTTGCCTTGGCCGTGTGTTTTGGGTCATTGTCATGCTGGAATACCCATCCACAACCCATTTTCAATGCCCTGGCTGAGGGAAGGAGGTTCTCACCCAAGATTTGACGGTACATGGCCCCGTCCATCGTCCCTTTGATGCGGTGAAGTTGTCCTGTCCCCTTAGCAGAAAAACACCCCCAAAGCATAATGTTTTCACCTCCATGTTTGACGGTGGGGATGGTGTTCTTGGGGTCATAGGCAGCATTCCTCCTCCTCCAAACACGGCGAGTTGAGTTGATGCCAAAGAGCTCGATTTTGGTCTCATCTGACCACAACACTTTCACCCAGTTCTCCTCTGAATCATTCAGATGTTCATTGGCAAACTTCAGACGGGCCTGTATATGTGCTTTCTTGAGTAGGGGGACCTTGCGGGCGCTGCAGGATTTCAGTCCTTCACAGCGTAGTGTGTTACCAATTGTTTTCTTGGTGACTATGGTCCCAGCTGCCTTGAGATAATTGACAAGATCCTCCCGTGAGATCTTGCATGGAGCCCCAGGCCGAGGGAGATTGACAGTTCTTTTGTGTTTCTTCCATTTGCGAATAATCGCACCAACTGTTGTCACCTTCTCACCAAGCTGCTTGGCGATGGTCTTGTAGCCCATTCCAGCCTTGTGTAGGTCTACATTCTTGTCCCTGACATCCTTGGAGAGCTCTTTGGTCTTGGCCATGGTGGAGAGTTTGGAATCTGATTGATTGCTTCTGTGGACAGGTGTCTTTTATACAGGTAACAAACTGAAATTAGGAGCACTCCCTTTAAGAGTGTGCTCCTAATCTCAGCTCGTTACCTGTATAAAAGACACCTGGAAGCCAGAAATCTTTCTGATTGAGAGGGGGTCAAATACTTATTTCCCTCAATAAAATGCAAATCAATTTATAACATTTTTGACATGCGTTTTTCTGGATTCTTTTGTTGTTATTTTGTCTCTCACTGTTCAAATAAACCTACCATTAAAATTATAGACTGATAAGTTCTTTGTCAGTGGGCAAACGTACAAAATCAGCAGGGGATCAAATACTTTTTTCCCTCACTGTATGTAGGGGTTCCCTTGGGTGTGAACATAACAATTTCACTGTGTTCGGTTCTAGTTTGAAATACCTGCTATACTAGAAGTTAATGGTTACATGTATTAGGAATGTATATTCTGGGGTCAATGGAAGGTGAATAAGAAGTATGGGTCTGGAAAGTTACTAAGTGAGGGAAAAGGCAATCACTTGGTTGCGGTCAGTGATAAGGTTGATAGCTGTGGGTTAGTGAGGAATGTGGGCCGAGGTCAGGTCAGATGAAGGGAGAAGGAATAGTTTTATTACAAACATCACTCAACTTCCTGCCTAGCAACAAATATGTAGTGTTTAGAGGTGCAAGGTGGAGACTCCGCCTAAAGGAGGGTATAAATACTTGTTTCTTGTGGAAACATGTCTTTGTCTTTTCAGCTGTTTGACCCAAACTTGGTTTGAGCTTTGACTAGTTGTTTGTCAGAACCTAACAACTGTCCCCAATACTGTCATTGGCTACTTCCCCCCCAAGGAATGCTGACCCTATTACTTATTTTGCAATGTACAATGCTTCTGTCAGCCCTGCATATCCTAGACCAGCCAACCCCAATAAGCGGCCCGCGGGCCAGATCCGGCCCGCAAGAGCCAAATGTCTGGCCCACACTGACAGCATTGGCATTCACTTGTTATAATAAACATGAATTTAATATCCGCGGCTCTGCTTTATTTTGAAATTATCCCACACCTTGACCTGTGGCCTTTACCGCATGCATACGTAAGACGTGCTTCGCGCGCTTTGCGTACTCGTCTCCACTCGACTAGCTACCTAGTGTAGTGTCACACACACACAGTAGCCGCAGCCGCTCGCCAGTTAACCCTCTTTCATCAAAAGGACTGACCACTTCCTCACAAAAAATTATTAAATCCGGTCAAACCAACATGGCATTCACCAAGATACGCAAGGTAGACCAGGAGAACCGTCAGTTCAAAACTGACTGGACTGAGAGGTATTGCTTTTTTTTACCAGACCACAACAGTGCTAAGCCCACATGCTTAATATGCATGCAGACTGTAGCTGTAATCAAAGCGGACAATCTGAAGCGGCATTTTAACTCTATTCATGCTGCCAGTTTTAATGCAAACTACCCAGAAATATCTGACCAGCGCAAACAAAAAATTGCAAGCATGTTAACGTCATACAAGCACTCGGTTTTAACTATGTGTAAAACAACATCGGCACAAGAGAGCGCAACAGCTGCCTCATTACACGTTACAATGTGCAATCGACATGGCTGCCGAAGTTTTAAACCAAGAGGAACCAATCAAAAAAAAGTTGTTGAGCTGTTGAAGCAAGTGCCGCTGTCGGCTAACATGGCAACCAGAAGAGTCGAAGTTTTAGCGGAGGAGTGTTTTTCCAGTCTACTCACAGATTTGAGGAAAACCGTACCATTCTCACTGGCAATAGACTCGTCTTGTGACCGAACCGACATGGAACAGCTGTCTGTGTTCGCAAGATTTTTTGATGGGAAGACATTCCGGGAGGAGCTGCTGTGTTTGATTTCTCTACCCGGGCGTACAACCGTGGAAATAATATTCAACGAGCTGACACAGTTCTTCGAAAGGAATGGCTTAGATGTGAGTAAAATTGTCTCTGTTGTACCAACGGGGCTCCGTCAATGGTGGGACACCGCCAGGGCTTGGTAAGCAGGCTTTCTGCCGTTAACCCAGCACTCCTGGCATTTCACTACGTTATTCAAAAGTCAGTTTTGTGCGCAAAGCATGGGTGTTCCAGACAGAAGTGGGCGCTGTGTGTGTGTGTGTGTGTGTGTGAATGTGTTTGCTGGACTTTTTGTTTGCTGACTGTTTGCACAGAATATGCTCCAGGGGCATTTCATAATTAAATAGTTGGTTTTGGACTAATTTAGTATTTTTCATTTTTCTCTTATGTGACTCCTAACACCACTGCTAATAATTATAAAATCACAATAGAAGTGAAAACTGATCAAACATAAAACTGTCGCCAAAAAAACAAACATGTTGGCCCTCAGCTTGGCATGCCTGACCAAATTTGGCCCTTTTGGAAATCTAATTGGGGAACCCTGTCCTAGACCAAACAACTGCAGTGACCCACCCATCCCTATAGTAGGATCCCTGGTAGCCCCCTGGTGTATAAGAGGAAATGGGAGTAACCATTTGGGTGAAAACGTTTGTAAATGTACTATGTTGGTTAATGGTAGCAATAACTGCTCTCTTGTAATACATGATTCGGTCACAGGAGCACCAGGAAATGTGAGTTATACAATTTCTGTCTACAATAAGTCCATAGCACTGAAAGGAGCCCCAAATGGTACCTATTGGTTGTGTGGTCGATTTGCTTATTATAGTTTACCACCTAATTGGGGAGGGACGTGTACTGTTGGGTTTGTGGGGCCGGCCATGAGAGTCCTTGGAAACACTGAAACAGAATTGAGGGTTCTGTTCAGGGACTATCATCAGCCGACCCCTCGTTTTAATAAGCGATCCCTTGAAGATGTCACTCAAGTGCAGACCTTCTTCTTCCGATTCACTGGTGTTTTGCTGATCCAATATGTAGTTGCATGTGCCTTAGATCAAATTAGAGATTTGACTATTAAAGTTGAGAAAATGGGAAATTCTATTAGAGACGCCTTGGTTGCTCTGAATGAGGAAGTGAAAGCACTCCGCAAGGTGGCCCTTCAAAACAGGGAGGCACTTGACTGCTTATTCAATCAATCAATCAATCAAATGTATTTATAAAGCCCTTTTTACATCAGCAGATGTCATAAAGTGCTATACAGAAACCCAGCCTAAAACCCCAAACAGCAAGCAATGCAGATGTAGAAGCACGGTGGCTAGGAAAAACTCCCTAGAAAGGCAGGGACCTAGGAAGAAACCTAGAGAGGAACCAGGCTCTGAGGGGTGACCAGTCCTCTTCTGGCTGTGCCGGGTGGAGATTATAAGAGTACATGGCCATTAAGGCCAGATTGTTCTTCAAGATGTTCAAACGTTCATAGATGACCAGCAGGGTCAAATAATAATCACAGTGGTTGTAGAGGGTGCAACAGTTCAGTACCTCAGGAGTAAATGTCAGTCGGCTTTTCATAGCCAAGCATTCAGAGGTCGAGACAGCAGGTGCGGTAGAGAGAGAGAGAGTCGAAAACAGCAGGTCCGGGACATGGTAGCACGTCCGGTGAACAGGTCAGGGTTCCATAGCCGCAGACAGAACAGTTGAAACTGGAGCAGCAGCACGACCAGGTGGACTGTGGACAGCCATGAGTCATCAGGCCAGGTAGTCCTGAGGCATGATCCTAGGGCTCAGGTCCTCCGGGAGGGGAGGGAGAGAGAGAGAATTAGAGGGAGCATACTTAAATTCACACAGGACACCAGATAAGACAGGAGAATTACACCAAATATAACAGACTGACCCTAGCCCCATGGCACATAGACTATTGCAGCATAGATACTGGAGGCTGACACGGGTGAGTCGGGGGATACTGTGGCACCATCCAATGATACCCCCGGACATGGCCAAACAGGCAGGATATAACCCCACCCACTTTGCCAAAGCACAGCCCCCACACCACTAGAGGGATATCAACTGATCACCAACTTACTACCCTGAGACAAGGCTGAGTATAGCCCACGAAGATCTCCTCCACTGCACAAGCCCGAGGGGGTGCAAAACTGGACAGGAAGATCACGTCTTTGACTCAACCCACTCAAGTGACGGACACCTCCTAGGGATGGCATGGAAGAGCACTAGTGAGCCAGTGACTCAGCCCCTGTAATAAGGTCAGAGGCAGAGAATCCCAGTGGAGAGAGGGGAGCCAGCCAGGCAGAGCCAGCAAGGGCGGTTCGTCGCTCCAGTGCCTTGCCGTTCACCTTCGCACCCCTGGGCCAGACTACACTCAATCATAGGACCTACTGAAGAGATGAGTCTTCAGTAAAGACTTAAAGTCTGAAACACAGGCTTCCAGGGTAGGCAATTTTGGGGCTTCACCATGTTTCATCGAAATGTATAGCTGTGTGTCGTCCGCATAGCAGTGAAAGTTAACATTGTGTTTCCCGAATGACATCACCAAGATGTAGAATATATAGTGAAAACAATAGTGGTCCTTAAACGTAGCCTTGAGGAACGCCGAAACGTACAATTGATTTGTCAGAGGACAAACCATCCACAGAGACGAAATGATATCTTTCCGACAGATAAGATCTAAACCAGGCAAGAACTTATCCGTGTAGAACAATTAGGGTTTCTAATCTCCCCAAAAGAATGTGGTGATCGATTGTGTCAAAAGCAGCACTAAGGTCTAGGAGCATGAGGACAGATGCGAAGCCTTGGTCTGACGCCATTAAAAGGTAATGTACCACCTTCACGAGTGCAGTCTCAGTGCTATAATGGGTCTAAAACCAGACTGAAGCATTTCGTATACATTATTTGTATTCAGGAAGGCAGTGAGTTGCTGCAGAACAGCTTTTTCAAAAATAATTGAGAAGAATGGGAGATTCGATATAGGCCTATCGTTTTGACATTTTCCGGATCAAGGTTTGGCTTTTTCAAGAGAGGCTTTATTACTGCCACTTTTAGTGAGTTTGGTACACATCCAGTAGATAGGGAGCCATTTATTATGTTGAACATAGAAGGGCCAAGCACAGGAAGTAGCTCTTTCAGTAGTTTAGTTGGAATAGGGTCCAGTATGCAGGTTGAGGGTTTAGAAGCCATGACTATTTTCATGAATGTGTCAAGAGATACAGGATTAAAATACTTGAGTGTCTCCATTGATCCTATGTCCTGGCAGTTCTGTGCAGACTCAGGACAACTGAGCTTTGCAGAAATAGGCAGATTCAAAGAGGAGTCCGTAATCTGCTTTCTAATGATCATGATATTTTCATCCAAGATGTTAATGAATTCATCACTGCTGAAGTGAAAGCCATCCTCTCTTGTTGAATGCTGCTCTTTAGTTAGCTTTGCGACAGTATCAAAAATAAATGTAGGATTGTTCTTATTCTCCTCAATTAGGTTGGAAAAATAGGATGATCGAGCAGCAGTCAGGCTCTTCGATATTGCACGGTACTGTCTTTCCAAGCTAGTCGGAAGACTTCCAGTTTGGTGGAGCGCCATTTCCGATCCAATTTTCTGGAAGTTGCTTCAGGGCTCGGGTATTTTCTGTATACCAGGGAGCAAATTTCTTGTGACAAATTATTTTTGGTTTTAGGGGTGCGACTGCATCTAGGGCATTATGCAAGGTTAAATTTAGATCCTCAGTTAGGTGGTTAACTGATTTTTGTACTCCGACGTCCTTGGGTAGGTGGAGGGAGTCTGGAAGGGTATCTAGGAATCTTTGGCTTTTGATGATCCTTGGTTGGGGTCTGAGCAGATTATTTGTTGCGATTGCAAACTTAATAAAATGGTGATAAGATAGTCCAGGATTATGAGGAAAGACATTTAGATCCACAATATTTATTCCACGAGACAAAACTAGATCCAGGGTATGACTGTGGCAATGAGTAGGTCCGGAGACATGTTGGACAAAACCCACTGAGTCGATGATGGCTCCAAAAGCCTTTTGGAGTGGTTCTGTGGACTTTCCAATGTGAATATTAAAGTCACCAAAAATGTGAATATTATCTGCCATGACTACAAGGTCACTACAAGGTCACTCAGTGAGGAACGCTGGATACTGCCCAGGAGGCCTGTAAACAGTAGCTATAGAAAGTGATTGAGTAGGCTGCATAGATTTCATGACTAGAAGCTCAAAAGACGAAAACGCAGTCGTTTTTTTTTTGGTACATTGAAATTTGCTGTCGTAAATGTTAGCAACACCTCCGCCTTTGCGTGATGCGCGGGGGATATGGTCACTAGTGTAACCAGGAGGAGAGGCCTCATTTAACACAGTAAATTCATCAGGCTTGAGCCATGTTTCAGTCAGGCCAATCACATCAAGATTATGATCAGTGATTAGTTAATTGACTATGACTGCCTTGGAAGTGAGGGATCTAACATTAAGTAGCCCTATTTGGAGATGTGAGATATCACAATCTCTTTCAATAATGACTGGAATGGAGGAGGTCTTTATTCCAGTGAGATTGCTAAAGCGAACACCGGCATGTTTAGTTTTGCTCAACCTAGATCGAGGCACAGACACGGTCTCAATGGCGATAGCTGAGCTGACTACACTGACTGTGTAAGTGGCAAACTCCACTAAGCTGGCAGAATGGCTAACAGCCTGCTGCCTGGCCTGCACCCTATCTCATTGTGGAATTAGAGGAGTTAGAGCCCTGTCTATGTTGATACAGTGGGGGAAAAAAGTATTTAGTCAGCCACCAATTGTGCAAGTTCTCCCACTTAAAAATATGAGAGAGGCCTGTAATTTTCATCATAGGTACACGTCAACTATGACAGACAAAATGAGAAAAAAAATCCAGAAAATCACATTGTAGGATTTTTAATGAATGTATTTGCAAATTATGGTGGAAAATAAGTATTTGGTCAATAACAAAAGTTTCTCAATACTTTGTTATATACCCTTTGTTGGCAATGACACAGGTCAAACCTTTTCTGTAAGTCTTCACAAGGTTTTCACACACTGTTGCTGGTATTTTGGCCCATTCCTCCATGCAGATCTCCTCTAGAGCAGTGATGTTTTGGGGCTGTCGCTGGGCAACACGGACTTTCAACTCCCTCCACAGATTTTCTATGGGGTTGAGATCTGGAGACTGGCTAGGCCACTCCAGGACCTTGAAATGCTTCTTACGAAGCCACTCCTTCGTTGCCCGGGCGGTGTGTTTGGGATCATTGTCATGCTGAAAGACCCAGCCACATTTCATCTTCAATGCCCTTGCTGATGGAAGGAGGTTTTCACTCAAAATCTCACGATATATGGCCCCATTCATTCTTTCCTTTACACAAATCAGTCGTCCTGGTCCCTTTGCAGAAAAACAGCCCCAAAGCATGATGTTTCCACCCCCATGCTGCACAGTAGGTATGGTGTTCTTTGGATGCAACTCAGCATTCTTTGTCCTCCAAACACGACGAGTTGAGTTTTTACCAAAAAGTTATATTTTGGTTTCATCTGACCATATGACATTCTCCCAATCCTCTTCTGGATCATCCAAATGCACTCTAGCAAACTTCAGACGGGCCTGGACATGTACTGGCTTAAGCAGGGGGACACGTCTGGCACTGCAGGATTTGAGTCCCTGGCGGCGTAGTGTGTTACTGATGGTAGGCTTTGTTACTTTGGTCCCAGCTCTCTGCAGGTCATTCACTAGGTCCCCCCATGTGGTTCTGGGATTTTTGCTCACTGTTCTTGTGATCATTTTGACCCCACGAGGGAGATTATCAGTGGTCTTGTATGTCTTCCATTTCCTAATAATTGCTCCCACAGTTGATTTCTTCAAACCAAGCTGCTTACCTATTGCAGATTCAGTCTTCCCAGCCTGGTGCAGGTCTACAATTTTGTTTCTGGTGTCCTTTGACAGCTCTTTGGTCTTGGCCATAGTGGAGTTTGGAGTGTGACTGTTTGAGGTTGTGGACAGGTGTCTTTTATACTGATAACAAGTTCAAACAGGTGCCATTAATACAGGTAACGAGTGGAGGACAGAGGAGCCTCTTAAAGAAGAAGTTACATGTCTGTGAGAGCCAGAAATCTTACTTGTTTGTAGGTGACCAAATACTTATTTTCCACCATAATTTGCAAATAAATTCATTAAAAATCCTACAATGTGATTTTCTGGAAACAAAATTCTCAATTTGTCTGTCATAGTTGACGGCTGATTAAATACTTGGTGGCTGATTAAAATACTTTTTTTCCCCACTGTAGATAAGATGAGAGCACCCCTCCAGCTAGGATGGAGTCCGTCACTCCTCAGCAGGCCAGGCTTGGTCCTATTTGTGGTTGAGTCCCAGAAAGAGGGCCATTTATCCACAAATTCTATATTTTGGGAGGGGCAGAAAACAGTTTTCAACCAGCGATTGAGTTGTGAAGCTCTGCTGTAGAGCTCATCACTCCCCCTAACTGTGAGGGGGCCAGAGACAATTACTTGATGCCGACACATCTTTCTGGCTAATTTACACACTGAAGCTATGTTGCGCTTGGTGACCTCTGACGGTTTCATCCTAACATCGTTGATGCCGACATGGATAACAATATCCCTATTGGTTGGTCAAGGGGGTACTTGTGCACTCATTGGTATTGAATGCTGCACTTTTGTCCCAGATGTGTCATCAAATGTGTCTGATCTTGCTAACTACATCGCCACTGTTGCAAAGTCTCATTCCGGGGAATCAGAGTGGGTGTTTACTGGTTGGCTGAAAGGCCTCTTTGGAGCTTGGGGCTCCCAGATAGCTCAGTGGGTGATAGCTGGAATATTTTTTTTTATGTGTTTGATCGTTTTGCTTTCTTGTTGTAAGGCCATTTGTACTTCCCTTGCAACTGGAGTCTCAGCAACTATCATGTTCAATGCTACTAAAGAAGGTGATACTGGTAACTTGCTGTCTCTCCAGGAACTCCCCTTTCGCCCTATAATGGAAGATAATATGCAAGAATGACTTAGTATCCATGTTTGATTAAGTACCTGAAGGTTTTAAGTTAGGTTGTTAAACGACAGCAACCTTATAATGTAAAGGGTAATGGAAAAAGGATCAAATATGAAGATGGATTTTTGCCTATTGCTATGCCTCTTGTATGTAATAATCAGTATTTACTAAAAGCACTCCTGTTGATAGACTGAATGTATGTTAAGGAAAATCAATTTTTGTTATCACATATAGTGATAAAAGGAGGGAGTGTAGGGGAAATTTGTGTCCTCTGTTTCTCTGCAAATGCGTGACTACATGTAGTTGAGTCCTGATTATTGTGTTAGGATGTTCTGTGACTTTGCTCTCATGAAGGGAACTGATAGGAGAACAGAAAGAAGAGAACACATTGTTACTTTGGCCCAACGCCTAGAAACTGTGTGTGCAAGGTCATGATCAGCTTGTTGCATCCTGAGAGCAGCAATGCCTAGTTTGTGCATGAGTATAAAGAGTGTTGAAGTGGAGCAAACCCCTTCAGAGCTTCTGATAGACTTTTTTACTTTGAGTATTAAGTTTGTTGTAACCTCGCCGGTCGATATCAATAAAGATCTGTTCCTTTAACTTTGACTTCGAGTCCTTAGTGGTAATTTCCACAACAGGGGGAAATCCAATACAACATATTACTGAGTACCACTCTCCATATTTTCAAGCATAGTGGTGGCTGCATCACGTTATCAGTATGCTTGTAATCGTTAAGGACTGGGGAGTTTTTCAGGATAAAAAAAATAAACGGAATGGAGCTAAGCACAGGCAACATCCTAGAGGAAAACCTGGTTCAGTCTGCTTTCCCCCAGACACTGGGCGATGAATTCACCTTTCAGCAGGACAATAACCCAAAGCCAAATATACAGTGGAGTTGCTTACCAAAAACACAGTGATTGTTCCTGAGTGGCCGAGTTACAATTTCGACTTAAATCTGCTTGAAAATCTATAGCAAGACCTGAAAATGGTTGTCTAGCAATGATCAACAACCAATTTGACAGAGCTGGAATAATATTTAAAAGTATAATGGGAAAATGTTGGACAATCCAGGTGTGGAAAGCTCTTAAGACTTACCCAGAAAGACTCACAGCTGTAATCGCTGCCAAAGGTGATTCTCAGGGGGTTGAATACTTATCTAATCAAGATATATTAAAGTTTTATTTTTCATAATTTCTTAAAAACAAATGTTAGAATTTTTCTTTCACTTTCACAGAGTATTTTGTGTAGATTGTTGACAAAAAAATTACAATTAAATCCATTTGAATCCCACTTTGTAACAACAAAATGTGAAAAAAGTTAAATGGTGTGAATGCTTTCTGAAAGCCCTGTATATGTATTAGACCTTGCAGTGGCTCCAATCAAGCACCATATCCACCATCACAACCATATTCATCCAACATAACTGGTTAAAGTAATACAAGCACTGACTTTTCAATTAATGTTAGTCCTAACGGTTGACCCAGATCAATAGAGGCCAGATGAGATGAAATGACACTCCTCCACACTTCTGTGTAAGACGTAGAACAAGCAGTGATGTTTTAGCAGTGAGGTTAACTAAATAACAAACATCTAATGCTAGAAAATAAACCAAATAAAAACAATTTATTTTGCCTGCTGTGCATTATTGGCACTTAAATTGCAAAAATACACAACATTTTAAAATGAGTTTGACACAGTTGAACAAAAACACAAGATGGCAAATGAGAACAAAACCAAAAACATAATTCAGCGTTCAGCCACAAGAGCATTAGTGAGATCGGGCACTGATGTTGGGCGATTAGGCCTGGCTAGCGGTTGGGGTGTTCGATGGGGTTGAGGTCAGGGCTCTGTGCAGGCCAGTCAAGTTATTCCACACCGACCTCGACAAACCATTTCTGTATGGACCTCGCTTTGTGCACGGGGCATTGTAATGCATAAACAGGAAAGGGCCTTCCCCAATCTGTTGCCAGTTTTAACTTAAAGACCCAATGCAGCCGTTTTTATATTAATATCAAATCATTTCTGGGTATTAATTAAGTACCTTACTGTAATAGTTTTCCATTTAGATTTCCATTTAGCAAAAAACGTATTCTCTCTTTGTTATTGGTCTATTATTAAACTCCACTCATGCGAAACCTGCTGATTAGAAGGTCCTGTGTATTTTCAAGCAGCAACTATCAGGAAATAACACAGATTATTTTTAAATGTACACTTTTACAGTGTTAGTTTCATTAGCTGTTGTACAATATGATAAAAAACCCAGGAAATAATTAATTTTGACTGCACTGGGCCTTTATGGAGGTGTGTATCTTAGGGTATCGGCTTCTGTGTGTGCTCTCGTCCTTGAATGGCACCCTATTCCCTATATCAGGGGTGCCAAACATACGGCCCAAAATCGGGCCCGCGTGTGGTTTGAATAAAAAACAACAACAAAAAAACAGGGATATGCGATCTCAATCGACATTGAAATGACTAAAACCAAAATGAAACTGTGTATAAATGATAATGGTCACTTTACTCTGTCCAGCTTGCTAACAGTCATCGAAACAAAAGCTAGACAGTAAGGGAGAATCAAAAAAGCATTTTGTTTTGCCAACGTTGACAAATAACATTTAAAAAATGTTTTGCCAACGTAGACAATGAGGAAATATCATTCATTTTAAGTGCGGCCCTCCGGACCTCGGTGAAGACTGAATGCGGCTCGCGAGGCAAAATGAGTTTCACACCCCTGCCCTATATAGTGCACTACTTTTTTGACCAGAGCCCTATGGGCCCTGGTCAAAAGTAGTGCACTAAATAGAAAATAGGGTGCCATTTATGATGCACATCATGTGGATGATTGTGCTCCAGTTTGAACGCCTGAGTTTCTAGATGTGCACGATTATACATGTCCAGGTAGCAGTGTATCTTCTCATTGTGCATCTGCAGCATTTCATTATTTACATTGAGTTAGACAGACTATAGGAAAGCACTTGGATTGGCTCTGGGGTCTTTCTGGTTCCTGTAGCGCACTGCCAGCCACACCCCAAGAATCTGGAAGAGAATGGTACACAAGTCAGACAAGGAGGTGGTCAGACAACATGGCTTTTCATATTACTGAGCCAAAACAAGACAAGCCTAAACAAGCTGTACTGAGCTGGCCTGGTTGCCCATCCACAATAGCTGCTGGAACTGTGGACATTGTGAAAATATCAGAGCCGGCACAGTTTGGTTGGGTTCAGGCCGGCACGATAGCGTGTGAAAAGTGCAAATGGTGCCTAAAGAAAGCCTCACGCTCAGACACCCACCTCAGTAAAGCTGAAGAAGAGTCCAACCCCTCCCAGGATCTTCAGAGCCTGTGTAGCGTGATACAGCTTCATGTCACCACAGGCGTAGCAGTTGTTCCTGGCATTACACGGCTGCAATGAAAGAGACACGCTCCCAGTGTCAGCTGTGTGTACTGTTAACATTAGATCAACAGGCAACTACTCTGATAAACCACAGTGAGGGAGGTACACACTACGCTGGCAAAAGCAAGTAGAAATGTTCAGAGCTTCCCTGATCATTACAGCAGATATTAATCAGTGACAGGGTATTACCTATGGATAAAACCAAGTAAATCAGAAATACATTTTCCTGTGGTGATTAATCATGAACAAACCGGAGGTGTAAAAAACAGTTACCATTCCCCCAGTCATATTTAGTATGAGCAGAAGGACCCATGCATTACAAGTACAACTATTTCCAAGTTGTATTTTGTAGGAACATGTATTACAAGCAAGTACAACCAATCCTTACAGCAGTGCAGCTGAAAAAGTCCTGGTTAAACTGCCTCTGGCTGAGGGTGGTGTTGAGCAGGCCACAGCAGTCCAGCCGGCCCTCCAGCTCTCCCTTGGTGTTGTTGCTCATCAGACTCCAGGTGGAGTTCAGCAGCTTCTTCTGGAAGGAAAGAGAGAGGACATTTAATAATAATAATCATAATAAATGCCATTTAGCAGATACTTTTACCCAAAGCAATTTACAGTCATGCCTGCATACATTTTTGGGTGGCCCCAAAAGGTATTGTGCCATGCTCTAGCAACTGAGCCACACAGCTCCATGAGGACATGAGTGAGTGGAAATACAAGACAACATAGAGACCGATTCTACAGAGAAGGAGGGAGCAGAAGGGAGCAGGGACAAGGCAGGGAACGTGGAGAGGAAGATCATCTATCCAATCCTTTCAGATCTACACAGGTTCCTAGGGGGTAGGGGCTTGATTTTATTTCAGGGGTACTCACCTGCTGCCCTAGGGTCATGGCCAAGCAGGAGCATGACACTCCACAAATTGGATGAGGAATACTAGAAAAGTATGAGCATTTACATTTACATTTACATCATTTAGCAGACGCTCTTATCCAGAGCGACTTACAAATTGGTGCATTCAACTTATGATAGCAAGTGGGACAACCACTTTTTTTCTTTTTTTCTTTATGGGGGGGGGGGGGGGGGGGGGGGGGGGTAGAAGGATTACTTTATACTATTCCAGGTGAGCATGTACTACAAGGGCACGGTTAAGGACACAACAAACTGTTAACTTATCAACAGTTACTTATCAACTAGGCTATATTGAGAGAGAGTTTCTACATTCTACATGGGAGTTTCTACATTCTACATGGGAGTTTCTACATTCTACATGGGAGTTTCTACATTCTACATGGGATTTTCTACATTGGATTTTCTACATTCTACATGGGAGTTCCTACATTCTACATTGGATTTTCTACATTCTACATTGGACTTTCTACATTCAACATGGGAGTTCCTACATTTTACATGAGAGTTCCCACATTTTACATGGGCTCCAGAGTGGCGCAGCGGTCTAAGGCACTGCATCTCAGTGTTAGAGGCGTCACTACAGACCCTGGTTCGTATTCCAGGCTGTATCAAAATCCAGCCATGATTAGGAGTCCCATAGGGCGGCACATAATTGGCCCAGCATCGTCTGGGTTTGGCCGGGGTAGGCTGTCATTGTAAAAAAGAATTTGTTCTTAATTGACTTGCCTAGTTAAATAAAGGTTAAGTTAAAAAACAAAAAATTCTACATGGGAGTTTCTATATTTTGTTGTTTCTACATTCTACTACATTGGAGATACTCTAACCCAGAGACATGTATTTAGAAATTAATACATATCTAAATAAATACGTGTATAAAGATATGGCTCTGCTCCAAACTGTTGCCCAAAACAATGAAGTCAGGGAAACTGTCATTAAAGCCCAACGATTTGAGGAGACTCCCCAACAGGACATATAAAGGATACGATGAAGAGTATGACTTGGTGGTGGTGGGACTTCCGGTACGGATTGAAGACGCGGACGAACCACGACAGACAGTTGTGAATCGAGAGGGATTTTTGAAATTGTTGAAAAACAAACAAACTTTACTCGGTGTGGCAGAGGTTCGGCACGGCCGTGCTGTGAATGGGTCAGAGATGGTAGGAGATAGTGATGGAGAGGAAAGAGAAGCAAGTATGGACCATAGTGGTACAAATAAAGGAGGGAGTAAGAAAGATAAAAAGAAAGCGGGAGAGAAAGGGAGTAGGGGTATGAAGGGGAGCGAGAGGTCTATGGAGGTAAAGAGGAGGCAGAAAAGGAAGTTTGAGGAGAGAAACCTAGCTTCCAACGCTAGCGGAAGTTCGGAGGTAGAAAGTGCAGAGGAAGGGCAAGATAAGACACGAGAGGAACATGGAGGTGAGGAGGAGCATAAAGTGATTATTACGTTTAGGGAGGAAGGGGGAGTTGCAGTTTAGGGAGGAAGGGGGAGTCCGATAAGGTTGACGGCTGTGATAAAATAGTTGATTGGGGAAGTTGTTAATGCTAAAGTGTTAAGAGATGGGAGATTGTTGGTGTGCTGTAAGGACATGGCGCAGAGGAAAAAGCTATCGGAGTGAAGCAAATAGGGAAGTGTAAGGTGGAGTCGAGCAGCTGGACTGATCAAGCAGGGAAGCAGTGGAGTAAAGGGGTGATAACAGGAGTGCCTGTGAGTGTTAGCATTAAAGAGGTAAGGGACAATTTGAGAGGAGGCGTTCTAGTGAATGTACAAAGATTGCAAGCAACAAGGTGTGGAGATAGGGTAGATAGCACGTCTATTCTGTTATATTTCAAGGACAGGGTACTGCCAAATAAGGTAACAATAGGATATATGAGTTATTATGTGAGGGCTTATGTACCGAAGCCTTTAAGATGTTATAAATGCCAGAGGTTTGGGCATGTGGCAACAGTCTGTAAAGAGAAAAAGAGGTGTGCCAGGTATGGAGGAGAGCATGAGTATGGGAAGTGTGGAGATGGTGTACAACCAAAGTGCTGCAACTGTGGGGGTGCTCATAGTGTGGCATATAGTGGGTGTGAGGCTATGAAGAAGGCAGTGGAGGTGCAACAAGTGAGAGAAGGGTGTCATATGCTGAGGCAGTGAGGGTGGTCCAGGTCCAGGGAGATACAGGTTCAAGGGAGTGATGGGTAGGAGCATCTAGACCGGGGATTACGGGTCAGGTGGGCAGCGATATGGTATTCATAGAAAAGCTGGTGACGTTCATAGCAGGAGCTATCCATAGCACTGATAAAGTAGAGTCTAAAACGGAGAGGATTAAACTAATAGTGAAAGCTGCTGGGAGACATTTGAGTATGACAGGGTTGACATGGGAAGAGGTCCGAGATTACCTCAATCAGCCAATGGTGGAGTCATGTATTACTGGAGCTTAGTTATGGTGGCAGTACTACAATGGAATGCTCGAAGCCTGTTGGCTAATGGGCAGGAATTCAAGCAGTTCATTGTTGATATGCTAGCTAAGCCTGGTGTGATTTGTGTGCAGGAAACATGGCTCAAACCAAATGTGGAGTTTATCATACAGGGATATGTAGTGGTTCATAGGGACCGAGATATAGGTGGAGGGGGGGGATTATGCCACCTTCATAAAGCAAGCAATTCCTTACAAGATGATAGGCAAAGGTATTGAACAGGAGTATGTGGTGGTGGAGGTGTGGCTGAGAGGAGGGGTGCTAGTGGTATTGAATTACTATAATCCGTGTCAGATATTGGACATGGAAGTGCTGGAGAGGGTGGAGGGCCAGGAAAGAAGTAAGGTAATGTGGTGTGGGGATTTCAACCCCCACAACACGCTTTGGGGGGGGAAACGGATGGATGGAAATGGCCAAGTGATGGAAAATTTGATAGAAAATAAAGATCTGGTGTGCCTGAATGATGGCAGAGGGACCAGGATTGATGTAGCCACAGGGAAAGAGTCTGCCTTGGACCTCACTCTGGTATCTAGTGCGATGGCAGGAATATGTGAGTGGGAGGTATGGGAGAAGTCGACAGTAGGGAGTGATCATTACCCCATAGTATGCACAGTAGGCCGGAGGGAGGAGGTGGTGTTAGTGGGTGGAGTAGGCAGGTGGGTGTTTGGAAGGGCAAAGTGGGATCAGTTTCAGGAGCTGAGTGAGCAGGTGATGGCTCGGGTGGATATGAGAGGGGATGTAGATAGTATGAATAACTGGGTGAGAACAGCGTTAGTGGGGGCAGCTACTGAGGCTATACCTAAGAGTTCAGGGAACAGGAGGAGGAAAGCAGTCCCATGGTGGACGGAGGAAGGTGGGGCAATGGTGAGGAGTAGGAACAGGGCATTTAGAGTACTGAAAAGGACGCATAACTTCCAACATCTGATTCAGGATAAGCAGGCCCAGGCCATGGGGAGGAGAACTATCAGAGGTCATGTTGGCATCGGTTCTGTGACACCATTGGAAGGGTGACACCTGTGGGAGAAGTGTGGGGGATGATTAAGAGGATGAGTGGGATCAGAAGGGAGTGGGATTATCCAGTGTTGACAAGTGGGGAGGATGTAGCAGTAACAGATGAGGAGAAAGCAGAGATGATGGCCAGAGCATTTGTCCAAGTGCATAGCTCCGCAAATCTGTCAGAGGGGCAGAGAGAACACGAGAGAGGAGCATCATGGAGTGCTGGAAAGGAGGGAGGATGTAAATGATGAGTTGAATGCACCATTTACCAGGGCAGAGGTGAAAAGAGCAATAGGTAACGGTGGGTTAACTTCACCTGGGAAAGATGAGGTGTGCTATGTTATGTTGGCCAATCTTAGTGATGAGGCACTGGATAAGGTATTGGTGTTGTACAACAGAGTGTGGGAGGAGGGGAAACTACCAGGCAGTTGGAAGCAGAGGTCAGGAAGGCTCAGGTGAACAAGGAGACTGTTGTAGCTGTCTTTTTTTATGTGGAGAAGGTGTATGATATGATGTGGAAGGAGGGGTTGTTAATCAAGCTTGATATTATGGGGGTAGGAGGAAGAATGTACAACTGGATAAGGATTTCCTGTTTGGAAGGTCTATCAAAGTCTTTATCAGGCAGCTACTTGGTGGATAATGGTACACCGCAGGGGAGTGTGATTAGTCCTCTGTTGTTCTCAATCATGATCAATTATGTTTCCTGTCACGACTGTCTGTGAGATGCGGTAAACGAAGTCAGGCGCAGGACACTGAACTCTCGGATACGTACTTTTAATACGAAAAGGATCCAAAAGGACACAGAAAATAACTCCACGCAGGGAGGAAATAACCCGCTCACAAAATAGACAACCGTGAAGGGGAAAACAATCACACACAAAGTACAGATGAGAGACAGGGGTAATTATAAGGGAAACAATTAACATAATGACGAACAGGTGTAAACAATACAGACAAAACTAAACAAACACCGATAACATCGAACGGCAGTAGCTAGTACTCCGGGCACGACGAACGCCGAAGCCTGCCCGAGCAAGGAGGAGGAGCAGCCTCGGCAGAATCCGTGACAGTACCCCCCCCTTGACGCATGGCTCCAGCCGTGCGCCGACCCCGGCCTCGGGGACGGCCAGGAGGACGCGGAGCAGGGCGAGTTGGGTGACTCCGGTGGAACTCTGTCAACAGGGAGGGATCTAGGATGTCCCTCCTAGGGACCCAGCACCGTTCCTCCGGATCGTACCCCTCCCACTCCACGAGATACTGCAGACCCCCCATCCGACGCCTCGAATCCACGATGGAACGGACTGAGTACGCCGGAGCCCCTTCAATGTCTAGTGGGGGTGGAGGGGCCTCTTGTACCTCATTCTCCTGGAGTGGACCAGCTACCACCGGCCTGAGGAGAGACACATGGAACGAGGGGTTAATGCGATAATTAACAGGCA